TGTATGGTATCTCTGTGAATTGTGTCTCTGCTATCGGAGCCTGATCTTCTCTCGCCTTTTCAATGAGAAAATGCTCATAGTCTTCTCTTTGTGTATAAAAGAGATGACTCATGGTTTCTACCAGTTGGATGGATGATTCTAATTATTATTGTAGCTACGTATCCATGTCAGTGAATCTGCCTTGGGTGACAGAGGTCAGTTATGTGAAACTTCTTGTTTAGACTTCCAATGGTATTTGGATAATCTTAATTGAAGGGGGGAAAGGAAGAGTGGACCAGAGAGAAAGAGAAAGTTCACAGGGAGTGTTTAAATTTTTGCTTCTGCATCTATGCATATTTGTATGCAATCTATCAATGTATGTGAGTGTGTATCTATGTGACTCTCTTAGAGACTGTTTACCTAGGAAGATGCGGCATATTCTGGGTATGGTTGTGCATGTGTAGGTTCATGGTTTTTGTGAGTGCATGTAATCTGTAATGTATATGCATGGGTGGAGTGAGTGCCAGCTATGTCTTGGTGTGTGTGTGGCAGCTGGATCCTGGAATGCATATATTTAATGAATAATGTTCCTGATTATGTATTTATTACATTTATGTAACATCTGTTAGCTGGTGTGCGGTATTCATTTATGTAACAATGCTCATATCCACATCTATCTGTTAAGCAATATCTGCACTTCCAGTTCTTAGCACAGGGTAATTTACATGTAAATTAGCACAGAATTACACGTAAATAATTTAGGTTCATTTGAGACAAAGAAAAGACTGATGAAATAGCATTTTGAAATTTGTACTTAAAATCCTGGACATGGCCTTATCTTTCTAGACCTCATTTCCTTTCTATAAAATGAGATACCAAAATAGCTGTGTGGCTGTTACATAATCTGGTGCCAATTTGAGACTATTAAGAATGAAGGAGTGGAGGTTAGCCTGTCAATCAGGTCACAGTTTGCTGACCTAATTTGGAGGTGCTATGGAGATAAATAGCTTGCTGGAGGCAGGACACACAGAGACACTCCCTGTAAGGCATTCCTGTTGACAAGTCATATGGAGACATACTGATGGATTCAGAGCCCTGGAGCTGGAGGAGCCACGTGGAGATCCAGGTCAGCACTGAGATCCTTCCACCACCACTGGATCTACACGACTTTCCACCCACTGGCCTGTGATCTTCCTGCATTTAGCATTATTGCATGGCTCCGTGAGTCTAAAGAGGAATTTATGGGCTAGTATTGGACATATGGGCTCATATTGGATTTATGGACTTGATATGGTCTGGACTGGAATGTTTCTCAATATACAATTGCTCTTTTATATAAATCTCTTTCTTATACACATATGAGTGTCTGTGAATTTGTTTCTCTAGTCAAACCCAAACTAACACAAGCAGTATTTTATGAAATTCAAATACTGTGGATATCTTTTGTA